AAATTGATTCTCTCAATCATAATCTCTCTTTTATGCATCCACTGACTTGACCAAGAGGTGAAATTAGGCAGAGGTTAAGATGGTCCAGAGCGAATAGCACGTTGCTATCCACCACAGCTGTTTGGTGGTTGTGACGCCTCCACGGTTGTGGAACTGTGCTTTTTTTCTAGTCTATCCAAAAGCAGATTTATGAATCCCTTTCACTCATATTTTATAATGAAATCAGCCAAACAAAGCATTTTGCCTTCTCAGCACCTCTGTCGATCAAGATTTGAGCTGTTATAACCTATTTTTCGTGTATAAGTAGAGTTTCGAGACTACCATTTATAACCTCCTTTTCTGCTATTCCTTCGATTAGATTATCCTGTCGCCGGATTTGCTCACTGCGTTGAATTGAAGTTAGACGTGCCTTATTACGCCGTAATTGTCGGAAAAATCAGCACTTTATATTTCATTCATGAATTACTTTCGATGTGGCATTAAAATAGTTTATTTCTATTTAGCCACTACCTCCGGAATATCCTAATTCTTATCTTCTTGTGAGAGATTCATGTTTGCTTGCTGGTCATACAAATCGGCATTCATTTGCATTAGCATTTTAGAAGAAAAGCAATATTGCCCGAGAGTTATTAGAATGCACTTTGCGGCTTGCTTCCTTCTCTGTTGATGTCGCGCCTGTCGATTGCCAACTCCGGGGTTCGACATTAGAAGTTGCGTTCATGTCTGCTGACAGCAGGGCTCTTGAATGGAAGGAATAAGATACATTTTACGTTGATTTTGTTCTCGCCACATTGGAGGCTCAGACTCGACAGATCGAAACCTCTTTTTGATAAAATACTCTTTAAGAGGCCTAGTTTCATCGCAGTATTCCATTACTTGACTCTGAGAGAGCACTATTCAGGACGAAATTTTGATGCTCGAGAGCAAACTTTGAGATACGATGATTTGCGAATAGTTGGATTATGGCAATCGAGAATTTGATCTCTGCTTCTCATTGCATAACCTTTAGCAGGCTCTAGAGCCTCAGAGTTGGAGTGATTGATGGCCTAAACTATTCATAGCTTGCTCGATGTACATGGTGGATGTATTATTTTTATTGGCTGAAAGTAAAAAAAAATCATGATCTTAAAACATTTGCTGATACAAGGCATTTATTAGCCTAATTTAGATAATATAACTCGTGTAAGTTATTGTCTTTGTTGTCTGCTCACTGAATTGGACTGAATAAAGTCCCATAAGCAGGATAGTTGTAGTAGAGGTTAAATGACTAGATTCAAAGATAAATTCGGCACCTGAATCACTCCTCGAAATAGGCCATTTCGCGCACTATTGTTTATGACAACAGTCTTCTTTATCCTCCTGACTCTCAGCCTAGTTCTTCCTGGATTTTCCTGCCTTTAGATGCAGCGTTGAGGTTTCAGCATCTGTCGCGTGTTCGCCGTTCTTCTTCGCTTCCTTCCGCCGGTCGACTGGCTTGCTCCAATCGCCCATCCGTGATGGACCCTTGCGGCATAGACTTTATCGTACCTCCGCGAGCCAGAGTCACCGATCTCATGGAACGACTGTCGCGGATGAATCGGGCTATGAGTGCCAAGGTTTATGGGTCCTTATTTACGTCTTTTTATTTTACTTTTTTTTTCTCGGTCACTCTTTCGCATTGTCTAATTGTCTTGATACTATCTTATCTTTAGCTGATTAGGAAGAAATCATTTTCTAGAGATTCTTTAGTTCCGAGGCCACGCTGTAAATATGTATTTTGCCTGATATCAGTTCGTCCAGCATATTTCATTTTAGCAACAATGTCACATAGTCAACGCCGAGCAGTCTTTTTTTGTTATTTGCATAATACTTCTCTTCAAACGGATCAGAATTAAATTGCATTGTTTGTCCTTATCTAGGACTACCTGCATTGTTTACCTTGAGAGATATTAGCCTTGTTACAAGGCCCTTCTCTTTCAATTAATCCTTCGTTTTGATGTATTGTCAAATTTAATGGGTTCTTTGATGGATGCTGGCCGTAGCAACGTCTTCCATTCATCTTTGGCCAGACATCCGCTGGCCCTTCTAAGTGATGTCTATCACTGACGTACGCTTATCCTTCAGCGAGACTCACTTCTGTCGTCAAACAAAAGTCTCCAGTATCACATTAAGAAGGTCGTATGGGTAGCTTTAGCTGCTTTGTAAATGGTTCGTCGGGTATTATTACTGCTAGCTTATTGTTCAACTGTGACACCATTACTTCACTCCCAACCTTACCTTTCATCCTATTTCAACTGCCTTTCATGCAACCCATCTCCATTCCCTCCAGACAAAATTTATTCGCCTTCTCGAGACGGAACGAGACAGCCTGGCGGCCAATTTAAAGAGTGCCGAAGATCGCAACCGGATGGCCAGAAGGCAGATACATCTTTTAAGACAGCGTTTGTCGACTAGAAAGTAGGTCAAAGTGACAATATAACAGGTCTTGAATAAATTTCTTTATGAAATAAGTGGGCTGGCCTTGTTTTCGCAACTTGGTCGTGTTGTCAGAGGGACTTAATTGGATGCACCTTGTTCGAAGTCCTCTTCTTTAGTAGTTATCATAATTCCCAGCGTCAAACCGTGAACTTGCCAGACCTTTATATTCATCCTCAAAGGTGTGCCTTTTTTGACCAGTTTAGCGTGGCGCATTTACACCTGCATTATACTCACTCCCTTAGTTTAGATTTTCTGATCCAGATATCCCTCATTGGCCTGTAGATCCATTTGTTATCTTTCCAGTTGACCAATTTCACTCGGTTCCACCCCAGCATACTTTTACTTAAGGCGCTATTTCTCAAGCCTACAATGAATTTCGCCTCATCGGCAGACCGCCTAGGCTCAGATTCCCATGCTTGCGGATATTAGGCATTGCCTTCACGCATCATCTCCTTGATTAAACCCGAGTACCCTGATCGAATAGTGTACTGCGCTATTACGTCTCCTGCTACCTCGAGAGGGATTTCTAGTCAATTTATCCATAATTCTGAATTTCTTTGATGGCCCCAGTCACGTGACCTCCAGCCCCCAAAGTTGCAGCTGTTTCTTCAAGCAGACTCCACTTAACGAGACCATCTTAGCTTGATCTCTGAAATTTCCTCACCTACTTCTTGCCTGTAATCCCGTTTCTTTTGTTCTTCTATAGATCCTTGGCCTAAGTGTTGTATTTTTGCTTGTCTTCTTTTCTACGAGTTTGCTTAGGCAATATGCAAAGTTGTCACTAACTCTGCTTAGATCTTACTGTTTTCCAAGTCTGTATATGGATGTATTAAGATATTTTGTTACTTATGATGCGGAGATGAGTAAATTAATTTATTGTGTAAATATTAAGTCGAAACTTCAGCTTAATCTGGCCAAGATCTTGACTCTGGAAGAAGAGACTGAAATTTTCTCTAAATTATGACAGAAGCCTTCTGGAGATCACTAATACCCCCGACAGGTTCCCTTAAGAGACAATGGGAAATGGAGTTACAAATAATTCTAATAATGTCAACACATCATGAGCCAACAAACTGGAACAGAATTGCGAAGATGCCTGTGACCTGACTAGAAAATGGACAATTTCTCCTCCAGGCAAATGAAGGAGTGACAGTGATAGTGGACAGAAAACCATACACCAAAAAGATAGAATGTGAAATACGCGACAGGACTGCTCATCATGTATTAAAGAAGGGCCCATCTATGAAGATCAATGGAGCATTACGTGATATGCTGAAAGATATGTATAGGAACGGTGAACTTCACGCATGGACAAAAATGCAGCCTTAATAAGGGATGCACGACCCCATCAATCTACGGATTACCGAAGATAAACAGAGTAAGCGAACCGCAGACTGATTATCAACAACTGGTATGCAACAACACAGAAATTTGCAACTAAAAAATTAAACGACAGTTTATCAGACACAGTGAAACATTCATATGAATTTTCTCGAAGGATCAAAAACATGGCACTGGAAGAAACAGAATTATTATTAAGTTTTGAAGTACAATACATGTGCACAAATATCTCTAGAAAAAAAGAAGCTAATGCTCCTGCTAGAGATTTTGGAGCCGAGTCAAATCGGTCGACCAGAACGATGAGAAGCGGATCTACTGGCCCATTAAGGTGATCCAGATAGGTGATCCTAGTTTGATCGGCAAATTGAGACGAAGAGGAAGCAAAGCAAACGGCAGGTGTAATGCCGCCATGCTAAACTCGCCAAAATAAAGGGCACAACGCTGAAGGATGAATAAATGCACGTCGGAAGTTGTGATGGAGTGGGAGTGAGACCAGAGGGTAGGGATGAGCCAGGACAGAAAGAGGAGTAGTAGCACAACTGCTTCTGCAGAGAGTTCCTCAAGGGATTGACGCTATTTGTCTCTTTGGTAAGTCGAAATTTGGTGAGGAGAATAGCAAGGCTCATTGATGTTACCGGCGAAATGTCCGGTAATTTACTAGGTTCATGGTCCGACGCTGGGAATTATGATAGCTATAATAGCGGAGGACAAGGTGAATGCAACTAAGTCGCCCTAATAATACTACCAACTTGTGAAAGCGAGGTCAGCCCACTTTTATACATCAAAAGGAGACTGGACTATACTAAAGGCCACACCAACTTGGCCTTCATATCTTTCATTAGGAAAACTCTCAGAAATCAGCTTAAACAAATAGACTAATATTTGTCTACTCCCTTATATGTAGCTTTCGAAAATAAGACTTGAATGTCAAGTTTACTACATATATCCAGATTATGGGAACAATGGAGTTCATTCTAACCTATTTTTAAGTAGAGATATGAAGATAAGGATGATATGGACTTTTGTATGGTCGTGGTCTTCTTTCATTGTATTGGAGTTGTTTGACCTTGTTTTCGCAACTTGGTCATCTTGGCGAAACGTCTCGGAATGTACCAAGTCTACGGTCCGACTCTGGAAATTATCATGCATACTATGGGCTCGGGACAAGGCTCCTTCTCTAGGTATTCCTGCCAATATGACCAAATTGCGAAAACAAGGTCAAACAAATTTTTCTTTTTAATTAAATCACTAATTTATTTCACATGCTATGCATTCGAATTATCATCTGAATCGGACTTGCTGCGAGTTTATACTATCGCATCATAAGTAAAGTTAGCATATTGGCTTGACAGAAAATTTCAACTGAGAAATATTTCATCTGCGCATTTCTCTTGTTTTCAAGTCTACAAATCAACCGTTCCTTCTGAATGATCTGATATCTAACTTGAAATTTCGGCTAACTTTTTTGGCATGAGCTCGATTTGTTTCTCAGACTTCCTACTTAATCTACTAAACTAATAATCAGCACTGTTTCCGAGTTACTTTATATCCTTCTTAGTATGCGTTAGCTTGATGCAGGAGGATAGATATTTTAATATTGTTTTCAGCCAGACTTTATTTAAGTTAAGTTGCTTACAAGTGCTAAGCACTCATTATATAAGTTTGTGTTTTCCTCCTATTCCTTCAATTTCCAGAGAAACTTTCGGTTTTCAAGAAAATACTGATTACTCTAATAATTCTCTGCATTTATCGCCAACTAGCTGACACATTTACTGACGGCCAAAGCACGTTCCGGAAGAGTGTAATGGAAAAGCATTAGTGAAAAGGAGACCAGAAGTGATCACAATTCTTCGTGCCGAAAAGCAGTTCTTAGTCTTGGCTTGGTTGCGCGCACTCAATTTGGGGTCACTTGGATCGCTCAAAAGGCTGTCCTTTCTTGTATAAGGCCCATCAGTCTGGTTTTTTAGTAACGGGGCCCTTTTCTTCTGCTGGTTGTATTAACTGACGAAAACAGGAAAGGTTCCCGAATTTACCGCGTGAGGTTGTCGTTAAGTTGATTGTCTAGTCCTCCATCTTAAGGATTGTGCGTTACATGATTTTGTCTGTCTGTAGACCATCTCAGAAACGAATCCTACCCATACATTCATATTTAGTGTGGCCGGCTCTTATTACCACAAGGATTTGAT